TCGTATTTCTTTGGTTAATAAAATCCAAAAGGTTTATCGATCCCAGGGAGTGCAGATCCATAATAGGCATATAGAAATTATTGTACGTCAAATAACATCAAAAGTTGTGGTTTCAGAAGATGGAATGTCTAATGTTTTTTTGCCTGGGGAACTAATTGGATTGTTGCGAGCGGAGCGAACGGGAAGGTTTGGCATAAATATAAATATTGAATCTTCATTTGACTGGAAGTTTCATTTTCTTACCTTACTGATTAGTGTACCCGTTGTATTTGCTTCTCCTGAAGGTTGGTCAAGTAACAAAAATGTTGTATTTTCCGGTACAACATTATGGATTGGATTAGTCTTTCTGGTAGGTATCCTTAATTCTCTCATCTCTTGAATCTATTCGGTATTTCCTAGATCAAAAAATGAAATGACCCCTCCCCCGAATTCCTTCGGGTTGTGAGACACATTAAAATTCAATAACCAGAATCTTCAAAACCACATGCATTGCTTAGGAGGATTTTGGCATAAATATAAATATTCCATGCAAAATTTAACCAATACCTTGATTACCAAGGAAATAGAATTAGCCACGTTTTAGGAATAACTACCTCTGAGGTTAGATGCAAGTTTCTTCTTCTTTTCTTTGTTTCACAATAAGTATTAAGAATAAGTAAACCAGTGTTTTCAACATGCAGTTGAACTGGTCGGTTGAACCATTAAAGCTATCATTCAATCAAGATTCTGGAGCCAGTTTTAAGTACATCTAGAAAATTGAACAAATTTTGTTTACTTCGTCAAAAATCATTTGACTTAGGCAAGTGACCATTCATCCATTCGACCCACCATACATTGTATGTAAACTTTGAGATGTCATAATTTTGCACTCTAAATGTTTAATTGGGGTGATTTTTTTTCTTTATTTTAGGTAATTTTTTCTAGATCTTTGTGCCCTTGTAAACTTCAAAAAAACTTTTTTTTGACTTCAAATCTTAATTTTTAATATTTTTTATAAATAAAAAAATAATTATTAAATTAAAAAACATAAATTAGATATATAATATTTAATTTTTAAGATGTTACATAGTAAATTAGGAGAAGTTCATTACTCTCCTTAAGACTTAGGAAAGGCAGCGCAGTTACACTCTAGCCCATAGGGAGGGAGAACATTTTCTGCGATTGTGTGCATGCGGGCTCAATGAAATATGAATGAGATACCTTGAATTTATTACAAATGTTGGCATGCACATGAGAGATTTCTAGATTGTGATAAAGGCAAGGTTGTACGACAACACAAGGCTTGTCGCAACATAACAACTAAGGCCATGTTTGGTTCAAATTCTCATTCTTTCTCATTTTTACCTAAAATGAAATTCTAAAATGGAAAAGAATGGATAAAAATAGGTAGATTGAGAAAATATTGCTATGAACCAAACACTTTTTTTTCTAAAAATGAATTCTTTTCAGACTAACAAGTGTCCTATGTTACTCATTTTCATTCTTTAAAAAAAATGTGTCAATATACACAAACCACCAACCTAGGTTTCCAATAACAATGTTTACCAATTGGCATAGATGTTTTGTAAAAGTACTTTCATGAAAGTGCTTTTATTCATAAACGTGCTTTTATAAAAATACTTCCGTAAAAGTTCTTCCATAAAAGTGTTTTTATAAAAGTATTTTCGTAAAGGTGATTTTATAAAAGTGCTTTTGTAAAAGTACTTCCATAAAAGTACTTTCGTAAAAATACTTTTACAAAAGTACTTTTGTAAAAATGCTTTTATAAAATACTTCTAAAAATGCTTTCGTAAAAGTACTTTCATAAAAGTGCTTGTATAAAAGTACTTCTATAAAAGTGCTTTTGTAAAAGTACTTCCATAAATGTTTTTTTATAAAAGTTTCATAAAATGCTTTTGTAAAAGTACTTTCATAAAAGTGCTTTCATGTAAAAATAGTTTTATAAAAGTGCTTTCATGTAAAAATAGTTTTATAAAAGTGCTTTCATAAAAGTACTTTGTAAAAGTGCTTTCGCAAAGTAAATATCTATGACAACTATTTTATAGGAAGAGTTTCTTCAAATAATGAAATGAGCAAGATGGGACATGATTATTTTTCATATTACAGGCTATTTAATTTTTGTGTTATGAAGCTGATTTTTCATTCTAAAAAGAATATGGTTGTTGGCAAGAACTTTATAATCTAACACTCAAATGTTATTCATTCTTGCCTAGAATGAGAAATGTTATCAAACGCCATTAAAATTATCATCTACCTTGCCATCTGATGATCCGACCAACCATTTCTTGAGCAGTTGAACCCCAACTGGATCAAATGCGGAAAAAGTATCTAACTATATGATCCCAATATATGTTTTTGTTGCAAACAGAGATGCAATTCAGATTGGCCCGAGTCAGTGTTTTACTCTGCTTCAACCTCATCAACCTTGGCTTCATGTTGTATCCATTCAAATTTTGACAACAGAACAATCCAAGTACACTCAAATTGCGCCCTTAATGGATAAATTCCTTTTACAATTTATATTGTAAACATTTTCCTCGGTGGGAACTACCCAATGGGTCCTGGTCGACTGAATATCCAATATATAACAAGTTATGAATTCCGCAGACCGCAATTACAATTTACAAGTCCTGTGGTCCCAGACTAAGACAACCCCGCTACAAAGTATCACTTGGTTGCTTTCTGGAAAAGTAATTTCTTTAT